ATAATCTAATCCTAAAAAATGATTGGGTCAAACAACAAATCGTAGAAACAATCAATAATTTCATTCAAGAGAATGACAATAATGAGACAACATACTAAAACCTATGGGATGCAGCGAAAGCAGTTCTTAGGGGAAGTTTTATATCTCTAAATGCTTACATAAACAAAATAGAAAAAGAGGAGATTAATGAATTGGGCATACAACTAGAAAAACTAGAAAAAGAACAAATTAAAAATCCTTAGCTAAACACCAAATTAGAAATATTAAAAACCAAAGGAAAAATTAATAAAATTGAAAAAAAAAGATTTAAACTTTTTTTAATTTTTTCTGAATTACATGTAGAATTCTTTAACATTAATTTTTAAAAAAAAAGTTTATTTACAAATTCTCTCCCTTCCACCTCCTTGCTTAAGAAGGCAAGCAATTTGATATAGATTAGATATGTGCAGTTATGTAAAACATTTCCATATTAGCCATATCGCAAAGGAAAAATATGCAGACCAGAGAGAGAGTGAGAGAGCCAAAAAAAGTATGCTTCAATGTATATTCAGACTTCATAAATTCTTTCATGGAAGGCGAATAGCATTTTTCATCTCAAGTCCTTTGGAATTGTCTTGTATCATTGTATTGCTGAGAACAACTAAGTCATTCATAGTTGATCATTGTATAATATTGCTCACTGTGTATAATGTTCTTCTGGTCCTGCTCACTTCATTTTGCATCAGTTCATGTAAGTTTTTCCAGGTTTTCATGAAGGCATCCTGCTTATCATTTCTCATAGCACAATAATATCCTATCACATTCATATACTATGGCTTGTTTAGTCATTCCCCAATTGATGGGCATCCCCTCAGTTTCCATTTCTTTGCCATGACAAAAAGAGCTATTATAAATGCATATGGGATCATTTTCCTTTTTTTAAAAATTTATTTAGGATAAAGACCTAGTAGTGTATTACTAAGTCAAAGGATCTCCATGCCCTTTGGGCGTAGTTCCAAATTGCTCTCCAGAATGGCTGGATTAGTTCACAACAGTGTTTTAATGTCTATTTTTCCACAGCCTCTCCAATATTTGTCATTTTCCTTTTCTGTCATATTAACCAATCTGATAGGTGTGAGGGTAGTACCTCAGAGTTTGCAATCCTATCTCCTTTGCCTCCTGGAATGTAATATTCCAAGCCCTACAATCCTTTAATGTGGAAGCTGCTAAGTCTTTTGTGATTGACTCTGGCTCCACAATATTTAAATTGTTTCCTTCTGGCTGCTTGCAGTATTTTCTTCTTGACCTGGTAGCTCTGAAATTTAGCTCTAGCTGGGAGTTTTCATTTTTGAATCTCTTTCAGGAGATTATCATTGGATTATTTTCATTTCTATTCTACCCTCTGGTTCTAGGATATCAGAGAATTTTTTCTTGATAATTTCTTGAAATATGATGCATAGGTTCTTTTTTTTCATTATAGCTTTCAGGCAGTCCAATAATTCTTAAATTATCTCTCCTGGATCCATTTTTCAGGCCAGTTGCTTTTCCAGTGAGATAGTTCACATTTTCTTCTATTTTTCATTCTTTTGATTTTATTTTATTAATTCTTGATATCTTGTGGAGTCATTAGTTTCCACTTGTCCAATTCTAATTTTTAAGGAATTATTTTCTTCAGTGAATTTTTATGCTTCTTTTTTCATTTTTCCAATCCTACTTTTTAAGGAGTTCTTCTCTACAGCAGATCTTTTACCATTTGGCCTATTTTTTAAAGGTGTTTCTTTCTTCAGTATTTTTGTATGCCTCTTTTACCAAGCTGTTGACTCTCTTTCCACAATTTTCTTGCATGTCTTTCATTTCTTTCCCCAATTTTTCCTTTACTTCTCTTATTTGATTTTTAAAATCCTTTTTTAGGTCTTCCAGGATTTCTTGTTGGGTTGTGTCCAATTCACAGTTTTCTTTGAGGCTTTGTTTGTAGCTGTTTTGACATGGTTTTCTTCCAAGTTTGTGTTTTGATTTTCCCTCTAACCACAGTAATTTGTTAATGGTCAGGTTCTTTTGTTGTTGTTTGTTCATTTTTCCAGCCTACTTCTTGACTTTTAACTATGTTAAAATTAGGCTGTGCTCCTGAGGTGGAAGAGGCACTATCCCAAGCTTCAAGTTTTTTTTTGTGCTGCTGTTTTCAGAGCTAGTTCTAGGAGTTTGCTGGTAGTGCTTCCAAGGCACTATGATCTAAGGAGATTTGTGGTTTTCTCTTTTCCTGGCCTTTGCTCTGGTAAGAGACCTTGTTTCCGTGTAGCCACGAGTGCTAGCCCTCTTATCCACTCTGGAACTCTGATCCAGCTCCCCTGTGGCCACCAATGATATTGCTCCTTTTGGCCCTGGAACTATGACCAGGATCCTTGATCTGCTAAAGCCACAAGTATTATTGCTCCTTTCTGCCTTAGAACTAAGACCAGATTCCCTGATCCCTTGTGAGCAACCTTTAGCCCTCTTCTCCATCCTGGAACTGTGACTAAGGCCTCTGTTTCCTCCAAATAGGAGCATTAGTGCTCCTATTTGCCCTGGGACTGTGACCCGGAACTGTGTATGGGCAATGCAACAGGGTCCAAAACCCAGTGTCAGCAAAGGGTCCTCTGTAATTTCTTGCTGACCATTTGTCTGATTCCCTTACCATCTGTGGGCTAAGAACTCCTAAAGCTGTTGCTACCACTGATGCAGCCACCTTCAAGGCCTGCTGATGGAGCCTGATGCATTGTGTTCTAAGCCAACCACTACCATGGAGAAACAGACTTTTCTTACTGACTTCCTTGATCAGTACTGTTCTATCTTGGGCCAGAAAATCTTTTCACCCAAACAAAATTTGACTTGAGGCATTATCTTAAAGTTGCTTGGATGGAAATTTGGGTGAATTCAGTTGAGTTTCGGCTCCTACTCCACCATCAGGCCTCTGTAATGATTTTTATGGCCAATTTGAGGTCCATGGGAAATATGATATTTGTATGAGGAAGTTGAAATGGCCTTGTAGAAAAAGATTGTAAGTACAGCTGGACTAGATCAATTACATCCAGAGGATATCCATACTAGGAAACAAACAAATTGAGGGTACTGAGAAATTAATTCTCAAGATATCTGAAAAACAGGAGGATACTAAATGCTTAAAAAAAATCTCTGGTATCTTTCCCTTCAAAAGGCAAAACTGAGAATATAAAATTAGTAATTGATCTTGTCTAATTTATCTCTTCAAAGTATTATAAGAATGATTGACACACACAGGGCATCTTTGATGAATGGAAATAAACAGTATTTTTAGGCATTTGCAAGCAACATAGTATATAATACTATGTCTTCAGTCACATACTTTCAAAAAAGGCATACAGAATACAAGATTCCACTCTGCTTCAATTATAAAACAAAAGATATTTGATTCAGAAGTGTAAAAGTCCACCTTACAAACTATCCAACAGGGTATCTCTCTATGTATTAGAAAAATTGAACTTTCTTGTACAAAATAATTTTGTTTGCTGTTCCTCTGCATGTAAGACATAATACATGAAGACACATATGTTCACCAAATTAATTTGCCTAGAATTGTGCAGAGTATTTAAGGAAAAGTGATTCCCTAATGAAGTCCTCCAGATGTTCCTGCTTGTGGATGACAGCTTGCTGACTAAACGAAATCCTAAAACAGTGCATAGCTTCCCAACTGAGACCTATGAGACCCAACTGAAGGAAAAAACAAGTCCTGAAGGCATGAAGAACATCTATTGTCCGTGTAGCTGGATAGACAACTCTTAGAACTCATTACTCAATACACAGACACTGGACAGACACTGACAATGTATAATGAATTGTACTCAAAATTGAGCAGGAGAACCTGATTACTATTGGGAAATTTCATAGTTCCTTTACGGACCCTAGCTTATTTCTGACACCAAAGTTCATCTTTTAACATCAATATCCTTCTGATGGTGCTGTATGGTCAAAAGTTATGGAATACTAGTTTGAAGAACTGACTCAATGACCATCTAAAGGGCATTGGAGAGGTCATATGGTGGGTTGAGCAGGTTGCAATAAATTACAAATGGGGAATTGCAGGAAAATCATATAAAAGGATGTCAGAAACATTTGAAGAGTAACAAAAGGAAATAAGCATTTATGAGCATCTACTTTGTGCCAGGCACTACGCTAAGCACTTTTCCTGAATATTACTCATTTGATCCTCATAACAATCCTGGGGGTAGGTGCTATTATAATTCCCACTTTATAATTGGAGAAACTGAGGCAAACAGTGGCTATGTGACTTGCCCTGGGTCATATAGCTAGTAAGTGTCTGAGGTCAGATTTGAACTGGAAAATGATTGGAAAAAGTAATGATCTAATCATGTAGCAGGTGTGAAGATAACCAAGGGACAGCTCAGTCTTTATCTATACACAAAGGAAGGTTTCTAGTACTCTGGGTGAACCTTCTGTGGTAGCTTCATGTCAACATATGGGCAAGTGTCTCTTAGGATTGACAGGCAGGGACAAGCTAAGATAGGGTCATAGATTTGGGACTTGCATGTGCCAAGTAGAGTAAACAGATAAAAGATATTAACGAATAGAAAAGGAGACATAGACAACAAATATGTGTTATAAAATGGTATTAAGGGATTTTGATCTGCACAAGTGAAGTTAGTACTCTCACACAGCTGAGATCTCAGATCTAAATAATATTATAATAATAATACCAATAGCTAGGATTTATAAAGCACTTTACAAATATTTTCTTTTTTATTCTTATAATAACCCTAGGAGGTAGGTGCTATTATTATCTCCATTTTAAAGAAAAGGGAACCTAGGAAGGCAGAGCTCTCTAAGTGACTTGCCCAGTATCACACCGCTAGTAATTATCTAAGGCTGGATTTGAATTCAGGTCTTACTTATCCTGGTCCAGCAGTCTATGCAGTATGCCATCTAGTTGCCTATATATAGTATCTTGGAAGAGAGAATCCAAAATTCATTCTAAGTGACAGCACACTTACCTTTGATTTGAGGTAGACATTTACTGATGGCACTTTTGCAATTTTGCATATGTAACTAACTAATGAAATGACACAAAGAATGAATAGGCTATCACTAATTAGTGCTTGAGCAAATATTGTCCATTTCAATTGATTTTCTGAAATATCTCCATGAAGTAACACTGAACAAGCTAAGTTTGTCACCAAAAAGAGAAGGCTTGCTAACATAAATCCCATATGTAGAAGAATTCTGAAAAAAAAAAAAGCAAACCTGTTAGGTGCACTTACAAAAATAATGGAAGAAATCAGTTCATGCTTCCTCAGATATATTAACTTCATAACTTAATTAAAACAAAGTTTATTAATGGAACATAAATACAAAACTGACAGCAAGGACAACACTAGGAGTACTAAAGCTTAAAAGGAGTTGAGCTTAGTATGGAATGCTAAGAATAACAAAAAATTTTTGTTTATTTTTTAAAAAGCTATGTTGAAGAAAAAGAGGATTAAAGAAAGAACAGGATAGCTGTTTGAGGTAGATGACATGATGATAAATGATAATTATCCTCTTTTTATACAGTACTTTAAGCTTTACAAAAGGATTTTCTTCATGACTTGTGACATAAAATTACAAAAATTATCCCATTTTACAGAGGAAAATGAGGCTCTGAGAGATTGACTTCTACTTTATTCCATAAGGCTATGGAGAAGGATTTGAGTTAGAGTCTGACTATATGTCTAGGATCTTATTTACCTTTCTAACAGATGATAACGATTATGATAACAGAGAGAAGATAGAACTACTAAACTTACTCCATAGGTCTGGTGGGCAGAAATCTGAAAGAGGTTCAACTTCCTGAGGCATTTATATCTACCACTACAGTGCTGACATAATGCTGACTGGATCAGACAAAGCAGAAAGTATAAGGCGTAAGAGAAATAGAATAGAGTTTGCTCAGCCAAGCTCGGGGCAGTCCATTAAAAGATTCAGATTATTCCGGATATAACCCAGAACAAGCTACTGATACTTGACAACAAAGCAGGTATCCACAAAAAGTACAAACCTAGCAGAATGGGGAATGTCATGGGCACAAGCACTGGGTAGCATTGCTGATAATATTAATCAAGAACTTGAAACTGATAGATGCTGAGGTGTCCAGACGTAGTCCTCCTTTGTCCATCAGCAAGATGGGACCCTATCTACAAGGAAATGGCTTTGGAGGATTAATATTTGGTCCAATTCACCTGCAGCTTTACCGACTCTGAAGCATGCATACCTGGATCTTAGAAACCATCAACTGATGCCAAGTATTACTGTGAAGGATAAAAAGCCTGGCAAAACCCTTCTAACAAGTTGTTTTGAGCTATATGGCTGTGTATGTGAGAGAGCCTTGAGGAATTGGATAGATAATTCCTTTACCTACACTAACTCCTGGATGGTGGCCAAGTTGTCTGGGACCTGGAGGGAATAGGATTAGACAATTAAAAGACTTCACCTTTGGGGTCAGAACTAATGAAGGAATTTTGTCAATCCCTCCTCCCACACATAATTACTAGTGAAGTATATCAATCAGTACCTGGACACATCACATGGCTCCTGCTGAACTGAACAACCAGTTTGATACACATATGATAAATGGCAGAGGTTAGAGAGTGGGGTTATCATCAATCTAGAATTAGGGGGTCATGATGCATTGTTTTTTGTAAGTGCAGGAACTTATTACCCCTAAAGGTGAAGCAGCTACTTCTGCCCAGTAGGTATCCTAACTAGTTCAGCTGAGCATCACTTCCCAGAAGTCATGTCTACAAAAACAATAAATTGGTACCTCCCTTGAAGGGGGTGAGGTGTAACTTTCCAGTCCAGGATTTGTTTGGATCCAGTCCCAAAGAACTTACCTATAAGGTATTATGGATAAGAGGGGACTTCTTTTAATTGTCACCCTTAGTCCCTCCTTATTCTATTTTCAAGATATAGTTGCCTAAGCCTCAAAATTCCTATCCCTCACTCTCCTCAAAGGGCTCCATTTACTTCAGGGAATCGGTTCAGATGACCCTCAATTGGCAGATTTCCTTTGCCTCCAGGATGGTTAGGGTAACACTTTTTTTCAGAAGGACTTGTGGAATCAAAGAGTAGAATTTTAAAGAGACACTTTGCTTTTTAAAGGCACAAGGAATGTGCAGCTCTCTTTCTATTGACTATGGTAAGTCTATATTTTCCTGAAAGAAAAAGTAATATATTAGCTGGCTTTATGGCAATCGTGAGTCCTTGGAAAAGGGTAAGGGACAGTTCTTGCCTAGCCCTAATGAGAGAAGAGGACAGTCTCTCCACAAAGTCCTCTAAAGGGTCAAAGATTTGGTGTCACCCTTCCGCTAGGACTTCTAGGGAGAGAAAAGTCCTAGATGATGGGACAAGTAACACTGAGCAGGTAATACTATAGGGTAAACCTCAGTGTTAACCCTAGTACTGAAATCAGCTGCATCCCAGAGCATAATGGCCTCTTGAAGCTATCTTTCTATAGATGACTGTGACCTGTGATGAGGACAGATAACAGAGAAATATCTGCATTATAGCCCTGACATTTCTGATGCTGTTTCTGCTCATCATTCCTCCTTACATCAGGAGATCCATTGTGACCTTCCAAGAAGCAAATCGTTTTTTACTCACCACCATGTTTCTAACTCAATCCCTGATTGATATCAGCTATTCTCCCCTCTGACTGGAGGGCAGAAATTGGACTCTCTCAACTCACTCTACTTTGCACATGCTGCCTTGTCTAGTTTCAACTCCTTGGAACAAGATACCTCATGATAGGTACCCCCTTTTTCAAATTTGTTAATATCTCCTTTGATTTTCAGTATTTCTATTTTGGTATTTAATTGGGGCTTTTGTTTGTTTTCTAGTGTTTTTTTTTCTTAGTTGCACATCCAATATGTTGATCTGCTCAATCCCTTTTTTACTTATACAAGTTTTTAGATACATAAATTTTTCCCTAAGTACTGTTTTGGCTGCATATTACAAATTTTGGTATGTTATCTCATCATTGTCATTATCATTAATGAAATTATTGGCTATCTCTGCAATTTATTTTTTGATCCATCCATTCTTTAGGATTAAATTATTTAATTTCCAATAAATTTTAGTCTTTGCTTCAAAGACCCTTTATTGAATGTCATTTTTATTGCATTATGATCAGTAAAATATATAATCAATATTTCTGCTTTTCTGGATTTGTATGAGAAATTTTTATACTCTAATACATAGTCAATTTCTGTAAAGGTGCTATTCACAGCTAAGGAATAAGCATATTCCTTTCTAGTCCCATTCAATATTTTCCAGATGTCTATCATATCTAATTTCTAAAATACTATACATCTCTTTATCTCCTTTCTTGTTTATTTTATAATTAGGGTTATTTAGGTCTAAGAGGGATAAATTGAGGCCTAATATAGTCTTACTGTTTTCCTCCTGTAACTCACTTGACTTTTCCCTTAAGGACTTAGATGCTATGCCATTTGGTGCATGTAAGTTTAGTTTTGATATTAATTCAGTATATCTGGTACCTGATTATTCCATTGTAGGCTTAGATGCTGGGATAAGGATTCAACTGAGCCACTGTTCTCCTACTGGGGTCGTAGCCACACAACTAAGACTAGCTTCAGGAACATTCTTTGCTCATTACACAGCTAGGGCCTATGCTCAAGACCACCCCTCTCTGTCCTGGATCTGTGACCCAGAAGTGGCAATTGAGCTGCCAGATACCAACTGTTCCTGCACCCAGTGCTAGTTCAGGGATCTTTTGGAGTCTTTTTCTGCCTTGGTGCTCCCTTCCCTGTGACTTTTCTTGGCCCTTTTTCTGTCCCTAGAACATTCTGCTAGAATATTCTTTTCATGCTCCTTGTCAGAAACTATCCCCTGTATCTACTGACTTTTCTGTCTGTCTCCTTAAGCCACCCTGGGCTGGAAAAATGACTCAATGTAACCTTTTCTAGACTTTCTCAATCAAAATTAATTCTGGAGAATTTTCTAGATCATTGGTAAGTATGGATTGTGGCAAGCTAGGCTTAGTTGCTTCCTCTTACTCCCCCATTTTGACTTCATCTTTGTAGAATTAATTCTTAATCAACTGCGGTTTGGACTAGATCTTCAATGCTTCTTCCAAGTTTGAGATTCCATTACTCTATGATTTAATGTCAAATTAAGATTATGTTTAGAAGACCTTACTAGACATAAAAATCTCTATAAAATGAACATTTTTTTTGGGAAAAGAAGTGGTATTTTTCCTTTTAGTACTATTTTAAATTCTAGCTTCTGCATTTTTATGACCATTAAGCACAGTACTATGAAATTCATGAATGGAATGGAGAGGTTATTTTTTTTTAAGTTTGTAGAGATTAGATACAAATAAATTCCTTATAGTGATTTATTATAATTCCTCTTTTTTGGTAAGGGAAAACTATTTACAGCAATGGTTGAGTTATATAGCCAGATTGTGATTATCCATCTACCTTTAGATTACCTATTGCAAGTGATACTTTCAAGTTTGACAGCACCTTCCAGGGTTGTTGTGAGGATCAACTGTAGTAATAATTGTAATGTGCTTAATACAGTCCCTGGCACATAGAAAGGACTATATAAATAGTACAGGGACAAACTAAGTAAGTCCACTTGGTGGGGAAGGGTATTGGTTCACACACTCACTGCACTAGCTTAGACATATTCAAATGACCTAAAAACAAACTTCCTAAGTTATATAGTGATCCATGATATATAACTAACATTTAAATATAATTTTAAAGATGCTTTATGTATACATTCATATATATATATATAATATGTATGAATGTGTGTGTGTGTAGTTCTACATATTACCACAAACCTGTGAGCTAAGTACTAAAAGCATAATCTCTATCTTATAGATGATAAGACTGAGGTACAGAGATGCTAAATAACTTGCCCATAATCACAGCTAGTAAGTGTCAGATGCAGGATTCTACTTCAGGTCTTCTTGACTCCAAGTTTAGCACTCTATCCACTATGCTATGAAATACAACGATTTAGTTTGAATGTTTATTTAATCTATGAATTTCAAGGGTTTTAATTGGCATGATCATAGAAAGAGCTAGCAAGAACTGACCTTAAATACCGTCTGGTAAGACCACTTCATTAGATTGATGTGCCAGAAAAGTAAAGTGATTTTCCTAAGATCACATGTTAGTGACATATCAGAGATTAGAACCCAGATTTCCTAATCTAGTAAGTACTTTCCACTATGACAAAAAGTTTATAACCAACACATTGCTATAAGCTAACAAGTATAGAAACAAATGCTATTTCATGGGACTATAAAAAAATTCCATCCCAAACTAGAATAACATATCTCTAGTTTATCACAGTTATTAGAAATTACTTCAAAGATTGGGAATGAGAAGAGAGGTAGAAATCAGCAGTAACATTAAGACAGAGGGAGAGAACTGACTGAATAGATTAACTCCCAAATTAAATAGTCGCATTGAATTAACACTTGAATGAAATTTGAAAATAAAAAGGTAATATTACCCACAAAGTCAACACTTTCGGTAACTTTCACATATATTTTTTAAACTTAGTTCAAATCTTCTAAACTGTACTCTCACTGCTGATTTACCAAGTGAGAAATGTCCTATTTGTCATTAAATATTTCTGCTTATGATACTTACTTGTTTTTGTCAAGTTCAGCTGCACATCTGACTTTATAGATAATCTATAAAGAAAGATTTGAAAAATGCATTAGCAAATGTAATTGAGCACTGATATTTACATGGTCATGTACATTATATTTACAAAATACTAGTAGTAGTTAGCTACTAAAAATAAAGTTAAACTGAAATTAATTAGATTTTTCTTCCCATTAAAAAAGTAAGAATTTGTTTTAAAAAATAATAGTTAGTATTTATATAGAGTTTTAAAGTTTGCAAAGAGCTTCACATTTATTATTTGCTTCTCACAATAACTCTACCAGGTAGGGGTTATTATTATCCTTGTTTTACAGAGATAGGAGCTGAAGCTAAGAGAAGTTAAATGGCTTACCTAAGGTAATAGAACTAGTAAGCATGTGAGACAGGATTTGAATTAAGGTCTCTCTGCCTCTAAGTCTAGCTCTCTATCCGTTACACCATATTGTCTTTCTACTCCTACCTTAAAGGAAAATTAAGTTAAAAGGATCAACAATTTATTTCCGCGTGATAAGGCTTCATGATATTATACAAAACTTTTATTTCCTAATCTATTAAAAACTATATTACACGCCAACTATCCTAAACCTCATATTACAAAGTTGTTTTGACCTACACCCTAATTATGTATATAAATCAGAATATGACTCATTCTTTAAGAGTCTTTTACGGGAGGAAAGAGAGATGGAGATAAGGCATAGTAAAAATGATGAACAGAACAAAGAAGAGAGACAAGATTATGGAAAACAGAAATCTATTTCTACAGGGATTTCAGAAGGAAAGGAGTGCCCACTAAAGGTAGCTTAATCCACACATGCAACTTTGACTTCAATCATTTATCCTTCCGTTACGCATTATAGTATCAAATATTTATAAAGCAGTATGTTTAGCGCTAAGGATTATACAAAAGAAAAATAAGCTTCCTGGCTTTTGCTCCACCCTGGGTGTTATAATTTAAAAGAAGTAAAAAGGCAGATATATAAAAACTTATCATTTACTGCCTTACATTGTTGTTTTGAGTAGGGTGCCTTAACAAATTATGTCTGATTTCTAAGGGCCAGATTAATTACAGCAGAACAGGGGGACTGATTAGGTAGGCTAACCACTTTGAAGTACAATCTTCTAGCATGGCAACTCATAAAGCAAAGAAAATCCAAAATAGCTCTCAGTCTAGTATATCCACCTTTCACTTCTAATGTGGTGATGGCAAAGTGGCAGAAAAGGGAACAAGGGATACTGAGAACCAGTTTTTAGACCATTTAAAAACATTAATATAGCTGTTGAACTCTAAACGTGAGCTCCATGTCCAATAACCAAGGAGTGGATAAATTACTAAAGAAATCAGATATATCAACTTTACATTCTTGCTATAGGAGATATCGGAAGAAAGCTGTAGCTAAACTGAAAGATTTGTTCATGTGTTCAACAAGCATTTATTTTTAAAATAAATTTTATTAATATTTTTTGTTTCCACATTCTCTAGATTTCTTTTTATATTCTTCCCACTCCTCCCCTCCTCTCAGAGAGCCATCCCGTAAAATTTAAAAAAAAGTAGAAGAAGACAAAAGAAATCAGCAAAACTGATTAACACAGCAAAAAAATCTGAAAATAAATAGTGGTGGTGTGGGGTAGGAAGAAAGCCAAGCTTGGCTAAACTGAAGAGCACCCCCAGATGGCATCCTTTGACATGGAGGAGGCTAGGGAGCCCGCTTCTGGGAAAGTTGTGATTATGTAAAATGCAAGTACCTTGGAGACAAAGAAGCACATTCTTTAAGTGATTCTAGTCAGCTGACCACATGGTGAAGAGGAGGCCCTCTGATTGGCTTTTGAAGGCGTTCTAAAAAGCGTGTCAGCCTCAGCCACTTTTTTGCCTCAGCACTCTTGGGGTGGCCCTGGTGATTCTTTTGCTCATGGCAACCAGTGAAGATGACTGTGAATTTGAAGGGCTTCTTAGTGTTGAATATAGTTCTTATTTTAAAGAGGCTTGAGAAGTCATGAGGATCAGACAAAATATTTAGTCTTCTATGCTATTGCTCACCTGACTCAGAAGAACAGACTGCTTTTCAACAAGTTTAGTTGAGGAGACAAACTACACAGGATAATACCAGTGGAGACAGCAGGCTCTAGTGAGGTTTAAAGCTGGAGACGTCTGGCAAATAAAGGTATTCACAGAGTTGGTTTTTATCTGAATCCAGATGCAACAAGAAATATTTTGTGGGGCATTTGGTTTTTTCATATTCCATTGCTTAAGATAAGTTTTTGAAATAAAGCCACAATTCTGGTGCCAAGATGGTGGAGCGAGGAAAGAACTCCCTAGAACTCTTCCAAATTCCCCTCCAAACAATTTGAAAACTGCTTCAGAACTAATGTAGGAGCAGCACAGCAAAAAAGGTTTGTTTAACTAGAGTGGAAGAAGCGCAAAGTCAGAGAGAAGCAGCAGCTAGCCTCACAGCAAGGGGCCTGTAGCAAGGCTCCAAGCCTGGGGCAGTCCACCAGAGAGGCCCTGCCCTCCTGCAAACCAGCAGCCTCTAGTCAAGCCAGCAGTTTGTGCAGCAAAGCAAGGACCCACCCCAGTGACCTGACCCCTAGCACTGGTCCCCAGAGAGGCCTCAATCCCATTGCTGACTAGTAGTGAGGCCCCGGGCCCTCAATCAGAGAGGCCCTGTTTCCATAGCAACCCAGTAGCAGGCCCTCATCCCTGGGGCAGACCAGCAACAAGATCCCTTTCCCATTGACAACCAGAAGAAAGATTCTGTTTCCATAGCAACCCAGCAGCAAGGCCCTGCCCCTGGAGTAGACCAGCAGAGAAACCCTACACCTTGGGGAGGCCAAAAGGGTGGCCCCACACCCCAGTACAAGCCAGATGGGAAGCCTACCCTCCACTGTAAGCAAGTAGCTGGTTCCTGAAGCCCAGGGAAAGCCAGCAGCAAGACCCTGAGTTCCAGCAAAAAAGCTTGGAACAGTGTAGGACCAGGGCCCAACTCTCGCATAAAAACACCAAGTCATAAAATAGGCAGAAAAAATAAGCAAAAAACCCACCAAACCCCCCCCCCAAACAAAGAACTTGACTATAGAAAGTTACTATGTTGACAGAGATCAAGGCACAAACTTAGAAGAGGAAAACAGTATCAAAATGGCTACATATGAAGCCTCAGAGAAAAATGTAATTTGGTCTCAGGCCCAAAAAGAACTCTTGAAAGAGCTTTAAAAGGATTTTTAAAAGTAAATTAGATGGGACAGCTAGGTGACATAGTAGATAGAACACTGGCCCTGGATTTAGGAGGAACTGAGTTCAAATCTAGCCTCAGACACATAACACTTAATAGCTGTGTGACACTGGTCAGGTCACTTAACCTCATTGCCTAATCAAAAAAAAAAAGCAAATTAGAGAAGTAGAAGTAAAATTGGGGAAAAAAATGAAAGCAACGCAAGAGAATTATGAAAAAAGAGTCAATAGCATGGAAAAGGATATAGAAAAATTCATTAAAGGAAATAACTGCCAAAAAAATAGAATCTGCCAAATGGAAAAGGAAGTACAAAAGCTCACTGAAGAAAATAACTCTTTAAAAGTTAGAATTGGGGGCAGTTAGGTGGCACAGTGGATAGAGAACTGGCCCTGAAGTCAAGAAGACCTGAGTTCAAATCCTGCCTCAGACCAAACACTTGACCCTTACTAGCTGTGTGACCCTGGGCAAGTCACTTAACTGTAACTGCCTACAAAAAAAAAGAATTGAGTAAGTGGAAGCTAATGACTTTATGAGACATCAAGATATGATAAAACAAAATAAAAAAAGTAAAACAAAGAAATGGAAGAAAATGTGAAATTTTTCATTGGAAGAACAACTGACCTAGAAGATAGATCTAGGGGAGATAATTTAAGTATTATTGGATTACCTGAAAGCCATGATTAAAAAAAAGAAGAAAAAAGCTTGAACATCACCTTTCAAGAAATTATCAAGGAAGACTGCCTTGATGAATTAGAACCACAGGGCAAAATAGGAATTGAAAGAATTCATTGATCACCACCTGAAAGAGATCTCAAAATGAAAACTCCCAGAAACATCATAGCCAAATTCCAGAGCTCACAGATAAAGGAGAAAGTACTACAAGCAGCCAAAAAGAAACAATTCAAATATTGTGGAACTATAGTCAGGATTACACAGGATCCAACAGCTTCTACATTAAAGAACAGGAGGGCTTAGAATACAATATCCTGGAAAGCTAAGGAGTTAGAATTACAAACAAGAATCACCTACTCAGCAACACTGAATATAATCCTTCAGGGGAAAAAATGGATATTTAACAAAATGGAGGACTTTCAAGCATTCCTAATTAAATTTGACCTCCAAACACCAGGCTCAACGGAAGCATAAAAAGGTAAAAAAGAAACAAGAAAGAGAAAACAGGAGAGATTCAATAATTACACTATTTATATGATATTTCCTTATGGCAATATAATATTTGTAACTCTTAAGAAATTTATTACTATAAGGGCAATTGAAAGGAGTATAAGTAAACAGAAGATGTAGATATAACATGACTTTGATGAGATAATACCCCCTCAAAAAAAAAAACAAAAGGGTGAAAAAGAGATTGCATTGGAAGGAGGGGGGAGATGGAATGGGGTAAATTATCTCACATAAAAGAGGCATGAATGAATAGAAGGGAAGGTGTGGGAGTGGGTTAGTGGATGGCAGGCAAAGCTTAAACCTTTAGGTTTAGTTGAGGAGACAAAATATATAGGATAACACCGATAGATACAGCAGGCTGTAGTGAGGTTTAAGGCTGGAGATGTCTGGCAAATAAAGGCATTCACAGAGTTGGTTTTTATCATGAATCCAGAGGCAACAAGAAATATTTTGTGGGGCATTTGGTTATTTTCACATTCCACTGCTTAAGAAAAATTTTTGAAACAAAGCCACAATTAGGGGCCACCCTGTTGGCCTCCCCAAGGTATAGGGTTTCTCTGCTGGCCTGCTGCAGGGGCGAGGCCTTGCTGCTGGGTTGCTATGGAAACAGATTTCCGTAT